GCTGGCTTGCACCCCGGCACGTTGGGGGGCGACAGCCCCAGGGTCTCTGCTGCGTGGTCCCCGGCTCTGTGTCTCCTGCCTGGAGGCCAGCACGGCTCAGTGGGGAGCGAAGTCCAGGCGGGGGGGCGGGGGACGCAGGGGGGACGGACGGACGCAGCTGATCCTGCTGGCGGGGGCAGGTTCCCACGCCTGGCGCTGCCAACTGCATCCCCAATGAGGGGCCCTGTGTGGGGGGCCTGGCACGACGCCCGTGGTGCCCCCTGCCTGGAGGGGGGGGCGGGTCCTTCCTCGGGGACTCTGCCTCCCCCCGGCCCGGAGCCGGGTTACACATTAACCCCCTATTTGCTCAGATGGCGAGAAACGGGGTCAGAGAGTGATGGGCGGGGCAGCAGGGGGCGCTCTCCCCCGGCAGGCAGGGCTGGCCCCAGGCCGGGGGACCTCTCCAGCCTGCCCCCCGGGAAATGGGGGCTCCCTTAGCCCCTGCCACCCCAGCCACTCGTCCCTCTGTCCCGCAGGTTTTGCCAGGTGGATTCTGTGCCGCCCTGGACCGGCTGCTGCCCGTCGGCCCCTGGAGACCCATCAGCACCTTCTTCAAGGTTAGTGCCAGCCCGGACGCTTGGGTTCTCTGTGTCTAGTAGTTGGGGGGCGGGGGGCTGGGAGCCAGGACTCCTGGGTTCTCTCTCTGGATCTGGGAGGGGAGTGGGGTCTAGTGGTAAGAGCAGGGGGGGCTGGGAGCCAGTATTCCTGGGTTCTCTCCCCGGCTCTGGGAGGGGAGTGGGATCTAGTGGTTAGAGCCAGGGGCCAGGATGCCTGGGTTCTTTTCCAGGCCTCGGACCTGCGGGTGGACTTGACCAATGAGCCGAAGACCAAGCCGGAAGTGGGGCAGCTGCAGTTCGGGAAGCACTTCACCGACCACATGCTGATGGTGGAGTGGGACCGGGAGCGGGGCTGGGGCCAGCCCCACATCAAACCCTTCCAGAACCTGAGCCTGCACCCGGCCTCCTCCGCCCTGCACTACGCTGTGGAGGTGAGTTGGGGGGGGGGTATTCCCGGGCCCTGCGATCCCAGGGGGACGGCGTCGCAGCCTGGGCAAGGAGGCCCTGGATAACCAGACCCCACCCCAGAGCCAGCCGCATCCCAGCCCGGGCGAGGGGTGCCCAGATACCTCCCCCAGAGCCAGCCGCATCCCAGCCTGGGCGAGGGGTGCCCAGATACCTCCCCCAGAGCCAGCCGCATCCCAG